GACGGTCAAAAACAAATCTACAACCAAATAAAAACGAAAGACATCTTTCATAATCATCAGAAATGTCCATTGTACGATTCGGACTTCGTGAATATAATAAACGTGGTGTGTTTATGAATCTCTATCAAATAGTGATCCATCCTTAGATGGAATGTGAACGGACTTTATAAGTATTCCTGACTTTATCAGTTCCATTTCAGTTCAGATTATATCTTTTTGCTCAGATAGGGGTTTTGCACATATATTTAGCAAATATTCATTTTTCTAGTCGATTCTCAAAAATTCGCTTTTGTGGAGGCTTCGCACTATAAATTGAACGTGGCGTGTGTAAGTTATTGTCACGGATTCATCCAAAGTGGCCAGATAATATTTGTCTTAGCACTTCTAGTAAGATATTAGGTTATATGCTAAATAAGAGACTCGATACTTAAGACAATACCAAGGTGGGTTCGGTAAAAATAATTCCGTCTGATACTGTTCTTTGTTTATGCTCCAGCAGAAACAACCGAGAATCACTGTGATATGGAATATCTTTAGCAACGGATATTCGTTGAACAGTTTGAATCAGGCTATAGTGGTTTGATCACAATTTAACTAAAGCAGACTGATACACACAACTGCAAGAGCTCATAGTAATAAGTTAATAAATATTCAAAAGAGTCCGTCTTCAGTAACACTATAATAATCTAATGAACAGATGAACGAGGAGATGGAAACAGAGTTTAATCTTAAGGTGGAAAAATTGTTATCATTACGTATAGTTACTGATTGTGAAAAGTGCCTGCAACCGGATGATCTTGTCATCCGAGATACCTTTTGTGAAGTATCGGATACAGCTGATAATCTTAAAGTTGATAAATCTCCAGGAGATGACGGTATTCTCTCAGAGTTCTCTAAAAATGCCACAGATATACTAATTCAACATCTCACTGTGTTGTTTAACCAAAATTGAATATGCTAACAATTAACCTTCCTTATGCTTGGGCTACATCTAGTATAATACCCATAAATAAGAAAGGCAACACAGAAGACCCTAATAACTACAAAGGAATCTCATTACTTAACAACATGAGTAAGATATTTGCTTTTATACTGTCAACGCACATGTTGACAGGGAATTAGCTCTTGGGGAAATCAAGGACAAAATCTACATCACTGTCCCAGAACGTTTTATGCACAACATGTAAAAAATAAACGACAAATACACAATGAGCGGAATACATGCTCTGACAACACAAACACAACAATGGGTGGACCCTCCAACTCAGGCATACATGAGGTGAGCGGAGCTCCAGCTAAACCTCAGAACGCTTCCTACGAGCGGCACATCCTGCTCGAGGTCGTCCCTACACCAGCACTCGGAATACCAAGCTGACTAAATGGGTTATGGTAACACATATATAGTAATGAACAACAGTGGACAAACAATGAAGTTGCTCTGGACATGGGACTTCTAGGCTGATGAACCGACACAGCTCATACACGTACTATAAATAACATTAATTAACGGGAAGTGATATGGTGGCCCAGGTTGGCTGACAGTCAATATACAATGAAATGTTGGTGAGGATTAACAACGGAGATTAGCGCCTAATACATAATGACAGTTAAGTTATGGAAACATGCACATGTCATGGCTACAGGGTATTTAGCCTTGCTGTCATACATCAGTCGCTATGGCAATACTAAATAAGAGACTGGATATTTTCCTTAAAAATATAGATAATATTTCTGAATACCAAAGTGGGTTTAAAAATAAAATCATTCCACTGAAGACAAAATATTCATATTAGAGACATTGGAAACAGAAACACATAGCACGTAAAAAAGGTACATTTTACTGCTCTTTCGTAAACTTTAAGAAATCATTTGAAATGGTAAATAGTAATAAAATTAGGATTTTTTAGCAAACATTTCTCATTCATGGTAAATTCTTTAGAGTTAACCAGTCATGTTACGTCTGCGGTTTCTGCGGGTAAGGAAAACACATTATTTGAGTTTTTACGTACTTGCTTGGTGTACGACAAGAATATACTTTTAGTCCTTTACTTTGCTCAGTTTTCATTTAAGGAATTAGTGGAATTTATTAGCCCTAGGGTAGACGATGATGTGTTCATATCAGAGGAAAGGTAAACCATATTGTGTTTATCATTTGCAGATGATCTAATACTGGTAGCATATACTATTATAAAATTATAAAGATCTCTTGTAGGAATATGGGAAATGGAAATTAATACACAAACAAACTAATGTTGTTTTATTACAAAACTGGTGGCAGACACTTTTGTTACGAAAGGTGGACTCAGATTATAACTCTAATACCCTTGTAGAACAGGCAAGTAAAGCACTGAATACTATTACAATGCGTTGTTTAAATACAATATATGTGCTAATAATGCCTATCAAATATTTGACGCCAAAATAGTTCCGATATTGTTGTATAGTAGGTTTGGGAATACAAGCAAAAGGATTATATAGAAATTGTACATAGAAAAGTTTGTAAATCTGTTTTACATATAAATTATTGTTTTCCAAATGCTGTTTTATATGGTGAGTTTGACCGATATCCACGCTGTACAAAATATTATATCATATATATGCAGTATACATGTTATTTATTTTCAACAGTAAAGACAAGAAAGACTAATAGGAAAAGATTGACAAAAAATTGACTTAAGACAGTTTAATGGATTAAAAGGCAGATGACATAATTGGGGTTTTTTCCAATGTTAAGGGCTTACACGGTTTCGGGTCAATACCCAAAATGTCGGTCAGTACCTGGTGTCACCACCATTAGCATTGATCCCTGCCACACATCTCCTGTACATTGAGTGGATCAGACGATTTGTGACGGCCCTAGGGATCTTCCTGTACACATCCAGAGCAGCTGCGCGTTGTTCATCGCCAGTTGTAGGGACTGGGCGCACATTGTGCAGACGCCTTTGAAACTCATCCCACAAGTGTTCGATGGGGTTCAGATCAGGGCTGAGAGCTGGCCACGGTAGAACACGGATATTATGTTGTTGCAGAAAGGCCACGGTAGCTCTGGCAACATGGGGACGAGCGTTGTCCTGCTGGAAAATGTGTTGTTGATGTTGAGCAAAAAATGGAACAACGTCAGGTCTGATCACTTGGTCGAAATACCGCAGTGTTAGCAGTGACGCCGTGTCCCCGACCTTGACCAACATTCAGAAAGCACATGGGTCCAAGTCTCGCATTTAGTCCAAACAATGCCCATGTCGCTGGTGTTGACGGGTAATCTGCCGATCTTGTCGAGGTGTGGTGACCCTAGGACGACCGCTACGAAGAAGGTCATCTGTGGTCTGTGTAGCATTGCATCGATGCAGGAAACGGTAAATTGTGGTTATGTTGACGTTGAAATGACGTCCGATAGCCTGGTTTCTCTGAATTTGACTTAGGCGTGCATTGTTGACCAAGGAGTGGTAGGTCCAAGAATCGGCCACAGTTTTATACCCACTACAGTTCGTGACAGTTCGTGCATTTTCGATTTCGCGAGAAATGGGTGCATGATACCCACATATTCATTGAAATGGTGCGTTTTGGCGATTCGTTTTTTATGTTGCTTTTTTACTCGGGGCTTCCAAAATGCAACCAAAAATATTGATACCACCGTCAGGCTTCACTACTTGCTAAAACTCGTATCAATTTATGGTTCCGTGTTTGTTACCTATTTGCTTAAAACCTCTTGCGTTTCCTTTGCGTGTGAGTATATATTACGTGGTTTATCAATGCCCACATATAGACACCCGCATCAGTGTGAGAGAATGCTATACCATCCCTGTGAGGGGAAATACTTACATTGGGCATTTCATATTAGAATTGTACTGTTTAGTTACGGCTTTGGGCATATTTAGATATCCCATGAAGTTGGTAATGAAGAAGTATGTATCCTTGTTCTGAAACAACGTCCTCTCTATTGTACTAAATGTGTGAAGCCCCTTTCTGGTGTCCCCCGCCGTGATGTTGCTGGAATATTGCTAAAAGCGGCTTAAACCTCACTCAGTCACTCACTATTGTACTAAACAAAAATGTTTTCACTTCTTATAGATATACGATCACTTGTATTTGATTTTGGAGATAAACATATTGTGTTTTTAATGTAGAGCTAGGTTACCTGTAAAAGATGAATTCAAATGTTATTCTTAACCAAGGAATCTGCCGAGTAAATGCACCAACCGAATGTTGATGTCTTGTTGACGTGATGTTACACGTGGACGACCAGAGATGGGCAAGTTATCTTGCTTGCAGCATACACACTGAGGCGTAGACTTTGAAATTGTGAATCACCAGGATATATCTCTTTTTAATATATATTTAAAGATTAATTATTTAATTTCAGAAAAGATGTAGTTTGACTGAATTTGTTTGAAGGACGGTTACTTTTTTCCGTTACAATACAAAGGTAGATACATGTAGCATAGGCTTTGTCATTATTGGAGTTCCCCCGTGAAGATCCGAGTTAGAATAGGTCTTCAGCAACCCATGCTCTCCGCAAAAGGACACTATGATTGTGGTCAGGCTTGCTGACTTAGTTGACACCTGTCATCGTACATCAATGGTGTGAACTGACGCTCATGATGTTAGTCGAACCTTGAAGATCCGGAATACAATAGGTCTTCAGCAACCCATACTTGCTGTAAAAGCCGACTATGTTGGTCATAAGAGGCTACTAACGGGCTCGGGTGGTCAGGCTCGCTGACTTGGTTGATGCATGTCATCGTATCCCAATTGCGTGGATCGATGCTCATGATATTAATCACTGGATTGTTTGGTTCAGACTCGATTATTTTCAGACTGCCGTCATATAGCTGAAATATTGCTGAGTGCGGCGTTAAACAACAAACAAACAAACCAAATCATAATGTCAGTCACTGGATTGTCTGGTCCAGAGCATGATTATTTGCAGACCGCAGTTATGGAGCTTGAACATTGCTGAGTGCGGCGTTAAACAAAGACAAACACATCAAACAAACAATAACTGAGTTGCACATTCAACCATCTGGCCCGTTATTTATTTCATTTGAAGCATTTTAGCTTAATTATCTACATGCACACATATTGCATTGGAGGCGAAATGGAGCTCATATCTGTCCATGTACACTAGGATTCATTAGCTTATGTCACAGGTCATGTATGTTGTGGGGTGGGGGTATGGGGTTGACAATTACAAGCAAGAAAAATAGATAAACAAGTTCAAGATTTAAAACGATGGAAGCAAAAGCATTATGTTTTGGTGAGGTTACATACACTTTTAGTTTTAGAACTGCCACAACGAGTAGACGTAAGTCCGAATAAAGTCAGTAAAATCTGCCGAGCTGTTATTTACTAGTGCTTGTGGTTACCTGTTTCAGGGATACTGGTATATGTATGTTCTGGCTATAATATGTTAGCTTTTCATCAAGAAGTATTGTTCCCTTAGAAACTGTTGGAAGTTGTTCGCTGACAATGACCATAAGAAAATGTCTCAAAATACCATATAGGTATCTTCTACTGGTGACTGTCCGCTGTCACCGGGTCATCAGCGACTACGTCAGGGTCAGGTGGGTGTGGGGTCAACTCTTCCACTGGTGATATGTAACTGTCAACTGTCCCCGGGTCATCAGTGACCACCTTAGGAATCAGGTGGGTGTAGGATTGAGAAGTGGATGATGCTGAACTCTCTGATAACATGTCATCATTTCTGTGTACAATTGGCGCAGCAACGGCGAAGACATCTGCTATGACAGGCATGGCGAGACCAGGTTCATCTTCTAGGTTCTCTTGGCCCTCATTTTGCTCCTTAGCGTCCAAATGCCCCTCTTCTATGTCAGAGTATATGTGCCACGACTGGTACTCTACAACGGGGCTACACTCCCAAACCGCCAAATTCTCTCTGTAATAACAAACGAAGAAGAAAGGGAAGCATATTGCTCATTGTCAAGAATCTTACACTATATCTATGGTAATGACACATCTACTATGATAACAATCCATTGAGGTCGTACATCATATCAGGGCAAGGGGCACCAAGAAAGGGTTAGTACAAGTTCGAAATGTTACATAGATACATGTAACTTAGAAGGACGAATACGTCAGTAGCAGTAATAAGTGTAACCATTATCCTACACGTACACAATGACACCCTTTCCCATCTATGTTTTATTATAATTCGAATTCGAATTCGTAGGTGAAATGCTATCTGTTAAACTGTTGTGGACGATTGATAGCTTTAGTTTCCGGATATTTTCTGTTATTTGGTGGCTAAAATTAGCTTCACCGTGGTCAATAAAGGAATACCACTTGACAATGTATCTAAATTCAAAACGTCAACGCCCGAGAATAATCAGTCTCGATTTTCTGCCGTTTCCAGTGGGCATACAAAGTTTCATGGGCATACTCATGGATCTGCACTGAAGGAAGTGAAGGCAAACTATTCATACACCAGGTTTGATACAACGTTTTCAATTTAAATTGAGCGCTTTACAATCTGCAGGTAACATTCTTTCAGTGGATAAAACATTCAAACAGCACGCACATCCCTCAAATTCACCTTTGCTTGGTCTGACCTTTGCGGTAACAGACATAGTTTGACACCAGGATCGCCAGGACAAAGAGTACACACGCTAATGGTAGTCCTATGATGAGACCATGCGGACTTCCACTGATCCCAGTAGGCTTTTCATCTGGTGAGTAGAATAGGATAAACTAAGCAGGAAGCACTGATGGAACCAGGTTCTCCAGGTACTGAAGCTCACCTTTATTAGATGACATAAAAGTTGAGTGGTGAGAATGTGACAAAAACTATTTTGTATTGACCATACTACCAAACACACGAAGAGGCAGACAGACAAACAGCCTAGATTATTCTGGTGATCTGGATATAATTGAATTAAACTGATCTGAGTTTCCTGACTCGAAAAGTTGCATATTTTATCATAGTTTATACATGATAGATATAGATGAAATTATAAACTTGCAATGCTGATCAATCCAGGACGTACACAAAAGTGTTTAAGGGTGAGGGTAAACATAGAGGGATGGGGAGAGAGGATATATAGGAGAAATATTTTGCCTGGAAGTCACAGAAAAAGCTCGTAAATAAAAGAAACATCTTCTAAAAGCAGAATCCACTACACAATTTCGACTATATTGTGGGCATGGCTTTATGAATCACATTCAAATAGTGATGACACCAGGTGTTCGCGAAATGGTGAGTGTAAACTCTTTAAATAGAAAACGTATAACATTATTTTCTTCTTTGACGATGTCAAGGTTAATATTGATTATATTCATAATTTCGTCTTTTCAATTTAGAAATTTCCCAAGTGGTAATCGCAATAAGTTCAATAATGAATTACGAAGTACTAATTATCTGGCACACTGACTGAAGGAATGTTAATGGTTGTTTTTACCTGAGCATGTCTCATTCATACAATAATCCCTGGAACAGTTGCTGGTACAGGACGTTCCACATCCACGTTTACTGACGTCACATCCATTAATGCACGTGCCAGTCTTCTGATCACAGACCCCATCACGACACATTTCACATGTGTCATTACAAAACTCTCCAGAATATCGCGCGATACATTCGTCCACACAGACGCCAGCAGCATCACATCGTCCACCACGACAGTCTGCATTGCAAGGAGAGAGGCACCTTGGACCATACCAGCCTTCAACACAGCCATGGAGACACTCGCCACTCTGGTTGTGACACTCAGATGTACAATACAGAGACGCATTTACGCCAGGGGGCAGGCATCTCGTCGTATCATTCATGTTGGTATGAACCTTGCAATTATGACTGCACACCTCAACACAGAAACTACCACTTAATTGACGTCCACATCCCTCCGTACACCCGGCTTCACACAATCCTGAAAAATGACAATCAGGGCCGGTATATAGTGGGTAACACTTGTCACATGTGCCAGTGATCCTGTTGCAGGTTTTACACCTGTTGGAGCAGTTCTTACAGTCAGAGCCGTAGTATCCGTCCACACAGCCAGACACACAGGATGAGGTCAGCTGACAGTAGCCCTGGTCACACTCAGACTGACACTTGGTACATGTGGCCTCTTGACGCGCACATGGTCTTGTGCAATCTGTGCCTTGAAAACCAGGTACACATCCTTCAGCGCATCTACCAATGCCTGTCTCTGATGTCTCGCACGCACCATTTAGGCAACCTTTCGAGCAACGTGTCTTGCAAGTCACACCAAAATATCCCCCGAAGCATTTTGATTTGCAGTCCCCTGTACTGCTACAGTTTGAACACTGATGACCCTTCAGACACCCTGCTGCTGTAAAATGTAAACATAACTTGGCTGCGGAATAAAATGCCTTTTGAAGGTCACATAAATAATATTTAATATGTATATATGACCAGGAAGATATAGGAATATAGTATTTGAATGCTCTTGACGTTACTTGATTGTGTGGAAAGATGATCACGGAGATCTAAGGCTCAAAGTGGTATGTGCAGTTTGGCGAGGGGACGTGTAACTGGCATTGAACACTTGTTCAGGACTGGAGCAATTAGTCAATCATCCATATTCACTTATGCTTGAAACCTCATGCACTAATAATTTACATGTTTATAAAATATATTTGTAATTGCAAGCAATTCATAGTTTGATTCTACCTTTGCGTTGTTTTATGTCACAGTTAACAATATTCCAGCTTAATCACCGGGTCCTGTAAGCAATCAAGTTTGGACCAGGTAAGTTGAAACATTATCAGCTTGATCCCCAGCATTAGATGCTATTTGTTCTGTCGCCGAGTGTATGGAAGTCCTCTGTTCAAGCCCATATGGTGGGACATGACAAATCCAGGAAAATCATTATCATTCATAATATCAGGGCAATGTAAAAGATATTATTTAGAGGCACAAGCTTCATTGTTTTACCTTGTGTGAAAACTGCTATGGACATTAGAATCATAATCACAGCGAGGGCCATAATTGTCTGGAAGGAAGAGCATTCAGCTAAGAATTGTGGTCAATCAATCAATAAAATCAATCAATCAACCACCCAACCAACCAACCAACCAACCAACCAACAGCCCGCCAGCCAGCCAGCCAGCCAACCAGGCAACCAACCAACCAACCAACCAACCAACCAACCAATCAATCAATCTTTATTTTTAAATACTGAGAAGGCCGTAGGCTTATAGTACATGCATAAAAAGTATACAAAAAATATATACAATAGAATATACACTCTTCAAAAAAAAAGAAACGCACAGGTAGTATGTAGTTCACTGAACCTCACTACACAAAATAAAACGGTATATAAATTGGATATATGTTATTGGAAAATGTTGGTGGCCTGATATTCAACAAACCGTGCGTCAAAACGCAGCTTTTGTCGATTTGCAATGTCTTAAACGGAATTGTTTCGCACTTGTTCAAAAATGTCATGAAGGAAAACAGTGAAGCAAAATGCACGTGCAAGTTATGGCATTCGTAACTCGTGGTAGTGGCTATTAAAAGGCAAGCATAAGCCAATAATTTGTTATTCAATTGTCAACATTTTTCAAGTTCGAAAATTTGAGAAACTTGAGACGAGTGTGGTTTAGCGATGAATCACGATTTTCGTCATCGAAATGAGCGTTTTACCCCACATTGTGTACGTGAATTCGACAATTTAGGTGGCGGTAATGTCATGGTGTGGGGGGCCATATCCTACACCACGAGATTTGAAATTTTAAGTTCTTTAACCTCACTTTCTTCCAATCATTGACCACACGAGGGAGCTGTTTCACCAGAACAATGCTCCACGGCACACAACTCGTGTCACGGTAGACTATTTTCATAATGCCAACATCCACGTCTTGCCTAGGCCATCGAGATCTCCAGATCTCTGGGATGAACTCGATCGACGTGTACGTCAATGTCAGAACACGCCGCAGACACTCCCTCAACTGGCCAACGCGTTACAAACAGAATGTCGCAGAATTCCATAGGACAGAATTCGTACACTTATTCAGTCAGTGCCAAAGAGATGCAGAGCCGCCATTGCTGCCCGGTGCAGTCACACGAGATACTGAGTTCAGCGCCACCTTGTTGCCTTATTTGACAGTTTTCAATGCCTTTGTACAACGACAATATGTGACTATCGAGCTCCAAATTTTCATATTTGTTTCTTTGATATTAAATTAAATAGAGCGCCTTTATTAGGTACACTCTTTTTTTGAAGAGTTTACATCAATAGCCATGGTAACTGTTAAATAACATCAAGTCGTTGAGTAAGCGCATGCTCTCTAAGTTTCATGGCATGGAAAATGAACATTTACACATTTACAGAGTGTTCAGCTAAGAATTGTGAGGAAGATATCAAAAGTGCAATTCCTCAATTCCCAAGTTATTTGTATCACTCACAATTCCTTGATTGTGAAGCGGAATAATAAAGCCAAGTGACCAATTCTCAGGAAAGAAAAAAATTCGTTCGAGTTCGAACCGATATAATTCTTAAATAACTTTATCCACACCTGATGTCTTATTGTTCTTTGAGTGTGTAATACTATCAAAACTGTCTTTCTTGGTAATTGGAGAATTGGCATTGTCTGTTGTCACCTTTTTGGAATGATTATCGTCGAAATTAAACATCCCAAAATCATCTGGGTTCCTATCATTCGGATAAGAGAATATTTTTTGAAAATGTTGGAACCCATCTTCGATTTTAATCTTGTTCCGAGGCTGTCTATTTGATGATTAATCATCATCAAGTTAGTTTTGCGTACGTAATCCAGTGGTGACTGGAACATGTGACGACACGGTGCGAGACGCTGTTTTAAAACTTTCACATTTATCAAACAAGCCATTTGATCTGATTACATAGTCAACCACATTGGCGCCCTGATTTCCAATAAATGTGAAATCTCCAATACCAGTATCTGTACCATGTCTTCCATCCAAACTATGAATATTCAAAAATACGACACATATCTTACAAACATTTGCCAAAGTTATTTATTCCCGAATCTTCGAAAAATCTTTCTGAGTTCAAATGATCAAGTAAAAAATCCTACATGTTATTATCCTGGCCGTGGAAGTGTTCAAGAATGTCATCTTCTACAAAATCAGCTTCTGTGCTGATACGGGAATAAAGGTCGCCATAAGACATTATGTAAACATCGTTACACTGACAGAGGACATCAAGCACATCATTCTGACGGAGTATTATACCATTAGTGCACTTTCTTACAGGATTATTACACCAGGTTGAAAATAATATATCTTCCTGAAAGTTAAATAGTTTCTTATCAAGAAGAATAAATATGCCAGTATCATTCATTTTTGTCTATTCACAAACTTTATAGGTTGTTTTCTGCCATTGAGAAGAATAGGTGAGACTGTTAGAATAATTTGTCTCGTGGTGGTATGGTCATATTTAATCCATTGGATTTTGTACACCAGAGAATCAGCTTTCAGGTCACTTAGAAATATGTGTTTCAAAAGCTCATTTAAACTTACCTTTTTCGCTAACAGTTATCAGCTAAATGTGAAGTTACTCATTTGTGCGTCATTTTCATCTTCCTCCTGTGGAGTACACGTGACACGTGACATCTTCCTGTCGTAGAGGAAGTAAGAAGTGCACAGTAGTTTCGGTATTGACATCAGTGTGCTTGTTTACACGATACAGCATTCTAGGAAGTAAACATGTTATGGTTGAGAATGAATAGGTAGATGTTCAACAATTTGATTAATCAGGCCCGAGGAGAAACCGGGACAAAGTAAAACAAATTGAGGACCGTCATGTATCGCGATTTCGTACTTGTAGACATGCAAAGCTGGCCGTGACTGAACACTGATCAGTATGTCAAAGTTACACTCCAAACTAGGGTCAGCGATCATACCCTATTCACACGTTACCAGTTTTCTGGTGGAAGTGTGATGAGATAGGGCGACCTTTTTCCAACAACGCGGCCGGTGTTGGGGACGACACAAAAAACGATGTGTTTGGTGCCGTCAAACAGACGCGACATTACGTCAACACAAGATATCGTTTGTCAGTAGAATATATTTCTTCACATATGGCAAAATGATATTATGACGAGTATTGCTACAACACAAACTATTACCAGCAACCAATGCTTAAGTAGAGGGGAATGTTCGAGTAACTCGAGTTACGAGGATATTCCCCTACTTAAAACTCATCACTACTTTACACTTTGACAAAATATTCTGCTGTAGAAAATATTTGAAAAATATACCAGAACTCTTTGTTGTCTGTATTTATACTGCGTGAGTCGTCTTTGCATCGAGGAATGCGTTTTCTGAATGCGTTCTCGTGAAAGGTTTATCTAATTGCTATAAATATGAACATCGTTGTAAGTAACCTGCTCTAACACAAATTATATACATATTATTTTGAGATTTTAAGCATTATGCAAAATTATGAAAATATTTAATAGTTAATTTCACCCTATACATTCATGTGACGCCGTAGCTAAGGTTGGCAATTTCACGTTCTCAAATCAAACGATGCTGGTTCGAACCCTGCTGGCGACACATGTTTTGGAAAGAAATGAAATTATTTACTTGTCAATAAATGTAAAAAATAGTTCCGTCTATTCCAAGTGGACATTGTTACAAATGTTGGTTCAAGATAACGTATTGTTGACAAACAACTCTTCATTCCTGAAAAATAATGGAGCGTTCAAACAATAGAATGACATCACACATGTGTTTTAAATAAACATAACAGTAACCTCATTAACTGGTACGTCCTTCCTACACCTACTGGTACACCCTAATGGAAGGCTGGGTTTTTTTCAAAGACAACTATGTTTAAGTTTATAACATATACTGAACACAAATAATCTTAAAATGACCCATGGTATGTCTCCTGTAGTGTAGCTAATAAGCATGAATAAAAAGAATATGAGACACCTAATATAGTTTGTTGCACGTGGTGTTCGTTGTGAGCATCATGCTAAACATCAATACATTAGCATCTGCTGCATGTCCCTTCCCCGAATGTTGATGGAGAATAAAATGAAATACAAGACACCACACAGGTTCATCACACATGCAAATACACAAGCAAGTGCATGTTTTCTTTTTATTGTTATATGGCAGTGTATTTTATTGTTAAACAGTGATTTTAATTGTATTACATTGTTTCTGTTGAGATTCGGTGGAAGCTTATTGTCTTGTATTTGGACATTGATTAGTTGTCAGGAATGTAGTAGTATTAAGTGTAGCAGTGGTTAGGAAGTTACTATATTTAGATGCTAGCGTGATATGTAAACTTAGGGAACAGTGTAGACTATTTTGTGATGTTCAAGTGACACTGGACTGATCTGGCACCCTGTAGAAATATCGTATTTGATTCTGACCACTGTCGTCATATTATATAGTGCCACTGTTTATCGTCTGAAGATTCTGTTGTGTACTTGTGTACTGCAATTTTAGTTGCAGTTCAGTTATTTGTATTGATTTATAAACCTAATTAATGTGGTAGTATATTGTTGATTGTATACCATTTGTTGGTTGTTTGTTGGTTTCACATTAAATTCGCTTACGTAAAGATTTCTGGGTTAACATTTTGTTTTATATTTCACTTACTTTTATCATCACCTTTTGCAAATTTACAAATATGTGATAAATCATGTATAAAACAACGGTAGTATTGGACAGTGCTTTGGTAGCCAAGCCATCAGGAGTTATCTCCCCTACCGGAAGTGGGTTATCTCCCCCTTACCGGAAAAGGGCGCCACATCCGGTTCCGGGAGGCGTGCGTTTCAAAGAGGACGTCACATCCGGGAGGCGTGTGCATGCCTCCAAGAGGACGTCACATCCGGTTCCGGGAGCCGTGCGCCTGCCTCCAAGAGGGCGGCACGTCCGGTTCCGGGAGAGGGCGGGTTGTCACCTGCATCAAAGATGTCATCGGGAGGAGGGAGGTGGAGGGGAGGAGGAGGAGAGGGAGGGGGGGGGAGGGGGAGGAGGAGAGGGAGGAGGAGAGGGAGGGGGGGAGGGGGAGGAGGAGGAGGAGCTGGAGGGGAGAAGGAGGAGGGGGAGGAGGAGGAGGAGCTGGAGGGGAGGAGGAGGAGGGATGAGTTGTTGTTGGGTTTCTTTTTGTGTGTGTGTGTGTTGTTGGTTGGCAAAGCAATGATGAAAGCATTCTTTCGGGAGAGTTGGGTGGCCCTGAAAAGGGCCGTTGGCCCAAAACAACCAAAAACTGGAACGGGAACTGAAACGGGAACGAAAACTTCATGCTAGGAAGGCGGGAAAGCTTCCTCATTCACGTTGCTCTGATTCGTATTCTCGCACAAATAGTGCAAGAAAGTAGCTGCCACGTTCTTGTGTTTCACCACCCCCGTTAGCTGGAGGTAGACACAGTGAGGGGACCACTTGTGGTGTTCCACCCATGGATCGTCGTGGGACGCAGTACACACTATCGGTACTTTTTGTGTAGACGAAGCCTGCATGGGCCATGTCTTCAGCGGTCTGGTTCATCTGCATAACCCACGACTCAAACGAGGCTAGTCTTCTTTCAAAAGTTTGATGACATGATGGTGGCGGCTTACTGGGTCAACAAGCATCCGTAGTACACTCAGATCTGGACCCACAAGCATTCGTACAGCTCTTCGTCTCAGCCATTCTTGATGCGATGATATTTTTTTTCACAAGTGACACTGAACCCACTCGAGTGTTCGCTTTCTCTTAATAGGAGAGAGACCGGATCAGACATTGCTGCATGCTGATTGGTCCGACACGCTGCGCCCTGATTGATCGAAAACATAGCGCGCCGATCGGTCCGTTCCGTTGCCTGGCCTGAGACCGACCCTTGTGTTTCTTTTCCATAGGAACAGGCCTGTTCCATGGGAGAGAAAGCACAACCCACCGTTCGATCTATTTCCAGAACATTTTTGTATGCCTCATAGCAGATGAGGGTGACCGGGGTCTCAAGAGCTTGTCCAAACTGGATTTCCAAACCCAACATCGCCAGTGTGTCGAGGATTGTTGATGCCTTCATCAGCGCCAAGATCTGGTGTGAGATCCCCCACCTACAAGGAGTAACCTTGAGCAAAGGCCTTGGAAGTCACCCCACAGGTCTCAGGCCGCCACAGCTGTCCAGTTTTTCGGAACATATTCATGTAGACTTGTTTTAGATGGGCGCTATTGTTGCTGAAGTCGCTTTTCATTTCCGTGCCATGGACTTCCTGGCCATTGAGTTTCAGCTTCGTCATGGTGACATGGTTGTGTTTGAAGTTGTACGGATTCTTCTCTTTGCTGCCTACATAGGCACTATTGAGCTGATCCTTGTGAAAGTCTCTACCGCCGCTTTGACAAAGGCACGTGTATCAGCAATGGGGCCATCGTATTGCCCACAATTTGATATTCGACCAGGTTGGTGTAAATGTACACAGTATCAAATCGTGACAGGCGATTAGCCCTTGTATCACCTGTGATTTCTACACAGCCACCTGCCATGGGAGTAGCCCCCACTTGCCACTGGGCCAATGCACTCAAGGGAACAGCAGTCCCTGTGTAGGTTTTATAGTCATCCTTAGCGAGGAGTGGTAGTTGAACAAATCCAAGCATTCTCGAGAGTGGACTTGGCATGATCAATTCCGTGGCATAGAGTGATCCTCTCGTATGGAATTCTTCTTCTTCAGGGGCATGGAATCGCACTTTTCCATCTCCAAGCATCTCAAATCGAAGACTATCTTGAGGATACCTGGCAGCAATGACAAATCATCTGCCATCACTTTGGACGCTGTCTGAGGACTGTTCTTTCAAGATACCCGTAATATGCTTGTTACGACGTAAATTGTAATAAAATTTGACGTAAGTTGTAATACGCAAATTGTAATCAAAATTGACGTAAATTGTAATAATCTCAACTTGCGGAAAAATGTAATAACTTTTTACGTTAATTGTAATAACCTTATAAGTTTAGTGTCAAAGGCGTTAAATGACTAGAACCTATCCTTGTCAGGGTTGGTACAGGGTTTATCGTACAATCGTCATTAAAGTATGGGTGTGGGGGAGGATTGAGGTCGTTATCGTACATTGTTGTATAATTATATGTATATATAAACGCATTGGAATTTCATTTCTATGGTTGTCCAGAAGAGGATTAATTACAAAAAAGAACTCAGTTTTCTTATTTATTTGAGAAATACTCTGTGTGTATTGTACATAATTGTAATATATCCTATTGACGATTTTCATCATAATTGTTCATATTTAACCTAATTGAATCATATTTCAATTGGTAAAGTAGGAAGTTATATACACAATGGAATAATTATAACGTAACAAACTTACACAAATATATTGATGTGTAAATGTGGAAAGTCTGATTTTACTGACTGAAGCAAATTTATTTATTTTGCAACTGTATATTTGTACATATTTTATGCAGAGAGGGGTTTACTAAGTTGCAAGAACTTGTCCCCAATACAATTCTCATTTTGTTCTGTGAATAAAATATGTTTAAACTAAACTAAACTAGCAAATGGATGACATGTCATTCTGCAGTTGTCTGTGTGCAAGCTGATTTATACATGTTCA